CTACAAGAACTTGTTGCCCACCTTAACAACATCCCAAGCTACTTTGCTTGACACTGTGCACATCAACAAGACCTACAAATTTGAATAATGCAACCATTAGATTCACATAAACCATCATCCCAATATGTAAGCATGAAATTTATGCATCTATGTTGAAGGTAGATGAAATTAACTCACCATCTATCCACGATTGTGCAAAGTTAAAGTATGAATATTCTTCTAGAAGTTTATTTCTTACTCGTGGTTCAACAAATATATTCATACTTCTCTTTTCCTTCAACCAACTATATTAGAAGCTCAATGAAATATTGTAAATAATAATATACAACAATGTAATGCATAAGCTCAAAGAAATATACTTTAACAGAAGTGATTGACTAATAACCATATGCCAAAAATACCCTTTAAGAAGACAATTGAAGTCATAATACCTGACCATTTCTGCACAAAGGATTTTGACTGAAGTTGAATTTGGTTTTGTCAAGATAAGCACAGTCTGAGGAGGAGTTTCCCACTTCAAGGAAATTTGAATTATAAAATGTAAACAATATAATGCATCGCATCATATTCTTCATCAAAATACAAACAAAGACTAATATAATATAACATAAGGTAAAATGCAAGAAATATAAACATATTTTCATTAAGACCAGATTTAAGGTCATGGACAATGAAAGAAGAAGGGTTGAACTGGTCAAGACAACTATCAAGCAATGTATCTACACATTCAAAAGATGCTTTCCTCAACTCAAGACCATCATCAACTGTATGCTTAAAAGGTCCAAGATCCACCGTTCGTATCAGTTCTTTCTGTCAATAACAATATATGTATATATATATATATATATATATATATATATATATACTTTCATTGATATTCATATAGTACTACAAGGGTATTATGATCTATGAGAAATATATATGATACCTACCTTAATAATTGTCTGATCATAAAGAAGTGGCAAGACTTCTGGAAGAAGGCCCTTGATGAGATTTGGCTTGTTGTGGCCAGCTATACTCAAAGCCAAAACAGCTGCAAGCCTAACATGCTGCCCAAGTTTATCAAAATTTAAGAGATCATACTCATAACTCATGCATATAGATTATAGATATTATTTAAAAAAAAAAGAATTAGGGTTTTCTGGAACGTCCATTGAGTCCATTCCATTGAATTAGACAAAACAAAAAGTTTTCTTTCCATATTCCATTCCTTTCCTGATTCCACCATATACATATACATATACATATACATACACACACACACACACACACACATATATATATATATATATATATATATATATATATATATATAGAGAGAGAGAGAGAGAGAGAGAGACTTACCCGGTCCTGATCCTTGATAAGCATAAGAAATGAGGAAATTTCAGGGTAGAGGACCGCATCGATCTTCTCTGGTCGTTCAACTATCGAATACTTGACCGCAACAACAACCGTTTCCCTGGTGAATACTTGATAGCAAGGCAAGGTGTTGTTTGGCCTGAAAAAGATAAACACAAGGTTAAGCATGACAATCTGATTACACTGTAGGATTGTCAGATTTCATTGCATAGCCAGAAAAGGATCAATTGGATCTTTATCTGAACTAGTAAAAACTACATGAAACAATATGATTTACACTCTTTTGAGCATATATTTGCATAACTTTTATTTCATTTCTACTTATTACAGCATTGTAATCTGATAGATTTAGACAGTTATAGCAATTTTGTCCAAATACAAAGCAATTTTCACTTCTATAAATTTAGATTGATGTTTCAAATCACAGTGCCTAGATATTACAAGTGTATCATCACTTGAATCCCTACATTCAATCAAATAAGAAGAAAGAAATTAGGGATTGGAAACATACAGAATTAGAAGTGCTATCATCTTTCAAGATCTCTGTGAGCATCTTGACTGTAGATGAACATTTATGATCACCAGCAGCAAGACAGAGTACAACAACACATTGTGCAATGGAAAACAAAGCTTGTTTTGCAATACCACCTGACTGAGGTGATGGTTTAGCAGTTGAAAGAAGAGATTCCAACAAAACATCAAAACTCGTGTTTGCAGAGTACACCAAAGTAGCAAAAAAGTTTTGTAAAGCCGAAAGGGTCTGTACCTGAAGAAATGAGCTTTTGAATAAAGTCAAAGCCTGTGGAAGAACATTATTTCTGACAGTCAAACCAACAGTTGGACCAGACCTCCTGTCTGACATCAAGGTACAACAGAGTTCCAGGGCAAGAGCCGCCATATGCAAATCTGAATCATTGTTAAGGTTCAAAACCAACAATATATAAATATTAAATTTTACATTAATCTGAAACACAATAACTTGAAAATTTATAAAAAGGTCAAGTGAGAAACCTGATCAATGTTGAAAGTTCCACAATGATAACTTCATAAGCAGTGGAACCTATTTTATCACCATATGCCACAATTAGTGTATTCAAGGTACCAAGTGTTGCTTTCCTTAATGCTCGATTAGCCTATTTTTGGAAAGAAGAAAGTTTTGGTCTAATTTTCAATGACCTTAAAGTTTGATATACTTAAATATTGGTGTTTGTTATACCTTGTGTAAGAATGCAGCCAACTCCACAATAACATGTTCTAGGACACATGAAAGGTCTAGGTGCAGTGGAGATGCAACTATGACTGCAAAAGCCTGAAAAAATCAAGGTTCAGAGATAAAAGTACAAGTTGTTGCCCATTTTGTATCTTATACAAGTTTAAACCTTCCGACCTTTTGTTTTTCATTCATTTCCCTCTTTATTACATATTTGTTTACTAAGTATATGATACTAACGGGACATTTGGTTTCCATAATGTTTTGGAAGGAATTGGAATTTCTCAAAGGAATCAAAATCTAAGAGAATGGGATCTGACAGATTCTAAACTGCTGGTTGACAAAAAGTGGAATGGAATATTATAATGAAAAATGAATAGTTCAAGACTTTCACTTATAAATAATTTTTTCCAGTTCTATATAATGAGGGTATGGTATGGAATTGAATTCCTTCCATCCATTCCTAGGAATGGTAAAGTCCATCAAACATGGAAAAACTGAAGGAATTTGATGGAACTAATTCTTTCCATTTGGAACCAAACACGCAATGGAATGGAATATTGAATTCCAATTCCACCGGAATCCACAAACTAAACACATCTGTTGGGTCTAAAATATTGGTTTATACTTTACTTTTCTAGGAAAATGTATTTTTCTGTTATGTAATATATATTTGCGGCTGTGTTCACGGCCAAGTGAGTGTTTACGGCCATAAACCAGTTCACAGCCGTAAACCTGTTCACGGTCGTGAACCCATCTAAGGCCCATGTTCCCCATAAGTATATAAATAGATGTTAGGTGGGTGAGGAGTGGTTGATGAACACGTGAGAGCATATTGTAGAGAGAGAAAGTTAGAGAGAAGAGAGGAGCTTAAGTGTGTGTGAGAGAATCTAATGTGTATGGAGCATCACTCATATCTTTGAATACATCATAGATTCAAATTATTCTTCTTCTACTTCTCTTCTATTTTGATCTGACATCATCCGTTTGATTGGGATTCCGCACCATCAAACGGATCTGATTGATACTCAAGCAGATTGGGGACTTACAACATCCGAACTTGACTTGGAAAAAGTTTCATCATTCCATAAGGAAACCTAAAGAAAGTATATAAACAAACCTTAACAGATGTAAGTCGGGTTATCTCATTTCACGTTCGATCTATAAGAACGGGAAGGCATGCCAGTAGTTCTGATGTGAGATGATCACCAAATGTTGAAACAACAAGCCCCATACAAGAAATAACACATTCCTTAACCTCCTGGAAAAAAATAATTAAGTGCAAAAACTGTTAAAAGACAAATTACACCATTGGAAGTTCACCAAGATGTACTAACCTGGTATTGATATTGGTTTGTCAATCGTGACAGGATGGCCATATATATCGAATGGATATAAGGTTTGAAATCAAAATCAGAAACCTAAAAAAAATCAATAAAGTAATATCAGAGCAGAAAATTAGATAAATACAAGAAATTTTTGGAATAGATGAAATAGAAAGGGATAAAACCTCAATGTTTGGGCGCACAACTCGAACAAGTTCCCCACATACTCTTAATGCCTCTGCAGTAACTTTGTAATAGCATTCACCAACAGCAGATAAAACAGTAGCAGAAATAGCCTAAGAGAAGATGTTATCATAACAGTAATATTAAAATCTAGAAATCCTAAAGTAATATTAACTTTCACATGCAAAACATTATTGCTCTCAAGAAACTACTATGAAAATATTAACGACATTACTGATTTCTCTTACGTTAATAATAGGCAGGTGGATCATCAAGTACCTTTTAGGATATAATGTAACATAATAATCCATTCCATATTGATAGTCTCTTAAACTAGACTAGACAATTCAAAGTGGTAATTGCACTACAAAGATACCAGCTACAATCTATTAATTGTCCATTTGAGAATTCATATTGTTTTCTTCTTTTTGTAATTTTATCCATTTGAGTACTACTTCTTGTTCAATAACAGATCCCAATATTTGTTTTTTGTTTTTGTTATGTTCTTTTTTAATTTGAGTTTTGATTTTATTGGTTTGACTTTTGCGGATTTTGTTTGGTTTCAGGTTTCTTGTAGAGGAAGATGAAGGAGATTAAGAAGACGAAAGAGACAAGGGCATAATGGTAATTTTCATAAATAAGAAGTTGTGTCGTAATCATTACTCTTTAAATAATTCTGTAAAACAACTGAAATGCATTGTTTCTGTGATTGTCATTATGGATCCAAGAATCTATTTAGACATGAACTTTGTAGCTGAATCCATTGAAGAATCAATCAACATTCTCATTTTCATTCACGAAGGTAAAAGTTGAAATGAAATAGCTTTTACCATAGATTGAGCTCTATTGGAAATATATGCAGAAAGTGCAAATAAAATCCATAAATTGAGCTCTACTGGAAATATATGCAGAAACCAAAAGAAATTTTTTCGTTTAGTTTCCTCTTTATTACATATTTATTTACTGAGTATAAGACTCACATGAACACAGTAGAGAAGGGACCTGGACATGATGATAAAAAAAAACTTAATCAAACTATGAGTAAATTAACCTAATCACTGCAGATTACCTAAACAATCATAAACCCTAGAAGTTTCTCTAGATTAATTTGGGGAAGTTGCTTAGAAACTGAAACATACATAAGCCCTAGAAATCTATTAACATATAAAGTACCTGACTGATGTCATCGTTGTCAAAAAGAAACTCCTGGAAGAGATCGGCGACGCTCAATCATTGCGGTCCAAAGAAGCAGGATCTGCAATATGTGTTTTGATGTTGTAACGCTTTTGGTTGCAGATTTGTAGGTTATTTGGAGATGGAAGACTATCACCAGAACAATACGTGTTCTCATTAAGAAGTTTAATCGGGATGAAGCCTTTGTTGATGCCATGGCAATATGAAATCGAAAGCAAGATTTAACGAGAAGCAGCTTAGAGCCGACCAAGCAAAACCAAGCCATCCACATCCGCCCAAAAATCCCGATCGGCAAAGCCTGCTCTTCTCTCTCATCAACTGAAATCATCCAATTCCTAACCGGCGATTACCGCTTAAGCAGAGCCCGATCCACGACTTATTCTGGGAAGCCATGTGGCCCCGATGAACAAGTGAACAACTCCCAGATGAATCGAGGAATTGAGGAAGCTGTGGATGAAGACGAAGGCCCTAGGTTTTTTCTTGCTAATTCGAATAGGCGGGGAATTTTTGGGATGAATAGGCGGGGGTTAATTTTTTGGATTTCATTTTCCCCCTAAAAACGCGTGTTTCCTTAAAAAAATATAAAGCGACACACTTACACGACACACATTTTTTGATAGGTGCCTTCCGTATTTTTTTTCTGACACTAATTTTAGGGCACGCAAAAATGCGTGTCCTCTATCCTTCAAATTTTGGAAAATTGACATTAATTTGTAGGGCACGCACAAATCCGCGTCCTCTATCAGCGTGTGTCATTAATTGAGTGTCGTAAAAGACTATTTTTCTAGTAGTGTGGATTTCAGGAACAGCTTAAATGCCAAAATGGTCATGCCCTCTGGTGTTTCATGTCTGGGCCCTGTCTGTACATAGTAGTTGAAAAGTATTGTTTAACACTTATATAATACAAGAAAAACAATATTGCTCGTAGACCTTGAGTTAATAATAAATCTAGACTAATAATTAGTCACAATAAATATTAGACTAAAATCTAGTGATAATGTTACTAGGTTTCGTCGAAGGAAAATAAAATTGTTAGAAGCGAAACGCTGCCCGAGTTTGGATTCATCACTTTAACAAGTGAGTGCATAGTCCCTTTTATTAACATGATTTTAATACAAGTATTGATTAAAGTATTAAATATATGTTTGTGTGTGAAATATTTGTTATTTCCTGAAATACGTGTTAAGAGCATATCTGATAATATATGATAATTTAGGGTACACAATAAACCTAAATTAATTGATATGAATATCGGGTAGTATCTTTTTATGAGTACAGGTGAGATATACATGGAGGGCCGAACATTAAAATTGTCATTGATTTGAGAGTATGGAGTAGACATAGTCATTCGTCCCTAGTCCAAGAGTATGGAGTGGGCATAGTCATTTGTCATTAATCTGAGAGCATGGATTAGACAAACCGGATCTGGGGGTATGGATTAGGTAAATCTATTAATTTTAGATCTGGGAGAATGGATCGTGTCGTTGTGAGGATCGATGGGGTGGGGTAAAATTGGTTATATGAGGTGAAATTATATATATTGTGAGTTCTAAAGTATATATATATATATATATATATTATATATATATATATATATATATATATATATATATATATATATATATGGTATAACATTGTGGGATTGAAATCCCTATGTACTGTGACAATCCGAAATTTATAGCTTGTATAAACATTCAAATTTATCAGAGTTAGTCTTGTTTGTTAACTTTTAGCCCTATTTGGAGTCTATTCGAGTATTCTAAACTTAGTACCTTAAAGGAATCAGTGTTAGGATGAATTGGTTGAAGTTCTAATCATGAAGCAAACCGAAAACCTCCTCAAAAAGGAGTTTTCTGTCAAGATCTTTGGGTTTTCGGTCAAGGTGACCGAAAACTCCCTTATACATATATATTTCATGATCATTTTGATCATTCTTTCCTTTTCAAGTCAAGAAAACTTCCATTCTCTCTCAAGTATCATCGAGTTCTTCATTCCAATCTTCAAAATTGTAAGAATTCCTTTGATCTAATTTGTTGATACAAAGCTTTATCTAGTACAACCCTTTGATTTCATCCATGAAATCATCTCTTTTCGGGTTAGATCTTCAAGATCACCAAGAACACCAAGAACACACACTAGTGTTTTGGTCCAAAATCAAATCTATTAGCCTCTAAATCGTAAGTATTACTTCCCTATACTTGTTATCTAGTTGAAACTCTTGATTTAGGGCCTTGAAATCATCATTTATCCAAGAACAAAAGGTGTTTTCGGTCTAGTATATCTCCTTAGACCGAAAACCCTTATAAAGGGTGCAAAATGACTTTAAGCCTTTCCTAATACTTAGTATTGAGTCTAGAACACTTAATTGATTGTTGAAATCCCTTGGAAATCACCTTATGCATCAAAGACCATGGGTTTTCGGTCAAAACCATTTGGACCGAAAACCATATGGACCGAAAACCATATGGACCAAAAACCACAAGAACCGAAAACTCCAAGAAACATACCACTTGGACCGAAAACTCCCTTAAGTGGCTTTACAACCCTTTTATGCAATCCTAAGTGATTGTAACACTTCCATTTAAGGATTTCTTAGTCCTTAAAGTGTTATTCTTTACCTGATTAGTTGAGTAAACACTAATTGTATTCATATATGTGACTTTATATGCTAAATAGGATCCGTGTGTGCTCAAGTCTTAACTTGACACTTAGCATCCTTTTTCCGATCTTACATTCGCATCACTCATTTCAGGTGAGTTTATACCCCCTTAAGCAACCTTTTAAATGATTTTAAATGCTTTTAAGGGGGGAATACAAGTTGAACTATTATAGTTATTATATCAATCGCATGTGATTAATAACTATCGAACATATGGATTTTCTTACTTTTCAAGCTGTGTTATCAAACAAACTACTTCAAACTGTTTTGCAAACTCTTTTACATGTTAAATACTTTTATTAAACTCTTTTGAACTTATTCTTTGTCAAATGTGTATCTATATAGATATAGTTATATAAGTAGGATTGAGAGGACTTAGGACTGATAGCTCACCTTACTTCCTGTTCCTTGTTTGGTTGTGGACTTAGGGTATATGTTGTTTGTCCGAAGGTCGTTTGGATCCTAGTTATATATTATGTATATGTGTATAGATATAAAAGTTCCTTCATCCAGTTCAATACCTTTGGGTAGCAAAGGTATACAAACATGTTCATTCATACAAATAACATTACTAGTAAACTATAATAGGTATAGTTTAGGAAGTTACTAATACTATTTCTAGAGCAATGAAACATACAATGAGTCAGTTCATACATGAGTCAATAACATACAGATAGAGAATACTATGATGAGAAACAAACATAACATACTATGATGAGAAACAAACAGAGAATACTATGATGAGAAACAAACAATAACATACAGAGAGAACATACATACATACTAGACAGAGAGAGAACATACAATACAACTAGTACATTCATTACAATAGTACACACATTACATATACAAGAACATTACAACAGTTATGTGAGCCACGTAACAGGGCATGACATCACCTGTCATGGCTCGTTTTGTATCCAGAGTCTCCTACAAGGAGAGCGTTGATTTTGTGTATAGATCTATACTGGATTGACTATCCTACACCTTGCTGTTCGCTACAGTGGGACTTGCAAGTCTACGGGTGCCAAATGTCATTTCTTCCGACGTCTTTCATCGTCATGTTTCTAGTCGTTAGTATGGCACAGGCATATCACATCTTACTTTAAATAACAATTGGATTAAGGTAATTAGTACAGCAGTAGTTACTATAATACAACACTACAGTACTTTATTATTTTCCCTTTGCATTCACATTGTCATCTTTTCACATACAAGATAATGGAAAACCATATTTCTGGTTAATGATAGTCATACTTGGGAAAATATACACTTTTATAAGAAACTAACATACATTTCATTTAATGCCTTGGTAGAAGGCTACGATTAGTAGAAAATATAGGATTTTCTAGGAGTTACAAACTTTACAGAACACACTTGTATGAAATTATATTATTAATGCAATGGATGATGTTGTTGCTTGTTTACTACTATTCTTTGTTGTGATACTGTACATGACGTCCTCCACCCCCGAACGTTTCCGCCGTTCCGGTTTTGGGGTGTGACAGATTGGTATCAGAGCATTGTTTATAGTGAATCGAGTATATCAACCCATAAAAGATATACAAACTATAAACACAACAGGATTAAAATACTCTGACCAAGAGTTTATACTTTTAAATAATAAAATATTTAACTAATTATACATACTTGCATTCATACTAAAATCAGTGTCACTAGGACAGAACAAAAGTATTACGATTGTTGGGCAACACAATTAGACTTAGAGACATATAGTCAACCCTGGGAATGATATAGCCTGATCAACTATATTTTTCCGAGGAGTGACTAGCATGTGCCTAAGAGTGGTTGTGAGGTTGCAACAAGTCTAAAAACTTACCAACACTACTACAATGAAAACATTAGAACAGGACATAAACTTAAAATACTATAGGAGTATTTTGTATTACTATAATTTACTTATGTGCAAACTAAAAAGGTCTTTATCAGTAGGTCAATGGTTGCTAAGTGGATACGCTAAGGTTATATGTAACTGGGATGTCATAGACTTAGAATCTGTAATCTTTGCTTTACTCCCTGTTCCTTGTTTGGTTGTGGGTTTCGAGTTAGGGTCACTTATTCAAAGGTCTATCCTGTTTTGATTACATATAACTAGTATGCACAAAACAAGTATTGAAGTAACTGATAAAGATTATCTTATAATTATCTAATTAGTACGTTTATTTAATTATTTCTTATACCCCCTTTTCTCGCATAGATATCATGGCTGGATTCCATCTTCCCGGAGATCCATATTTCCCAAACGAAGGCAATGCAGGTTGGCTTGAAGAAGAGCCAGAAGATGATTATCCAATCCCTTTGGATGATCACCTCGCTGAAGGCTTTTCTGATGGTTCTGACTCCGAACCTGAAGTCAACAACCTACCCCCAGTAGCTCCGAACCCGAACCCTCGTCCATCATTTCAAGGACTCACACCTCTATGGGCAACAAACTTGAACAGATGGAGTCAGGAGCAGGGTCAACCCATACCCTACAATGGGGACCGAAGCTTCTACAATCTAAACGAGGTAGGTTCAGCTGACCGAGTCCTACCCATCATGGTTCCTAGGATTGCTCGGAACACTGAGCAAGGTCGAGCAGCGATCGACCGAGTTGTGGAAATTGACTCCAACTCTGGCGTTAACACAGTCCGCATACGTTAGCTGGA